GTGTACAGGAGCTAATGATTTGTTTCCCATGCTAACTTAAGCGAGTGCCGTCATGCACATACACAAAGACAAAACAATCACACATATGAGCAGATACATGCATAAAACCTAAAACATTAAATATTAACCAATGATATTAGCTACTGTGTGTGTTGTTCTTGGCTTATTTACAGACCGACAGGGGACATAGCAGCTGTTTGGATGCGTGATGTTACCTGGCAGCTTGTTGCCAAACACAAGGAGGTGTGTATGCCAAGACACATCCAATCTATTTTAGGTCTGCTGTGCAGAATTGATGAGGTGTGACTGAAAATTACCATTTTGTGAATTGACTTAAAGGTCCCCTCCAGACATGTATTAAGACATACATACAAATAGTCTGCTTAATAAGGCAGTAATGAGTGAATGATGTGTTTTTTTCCTGCAAAAAGAAGTATAATTTCCAATTCAAAATCCTCGAAAAGGCATCTTCTCCTTTCTACCTCATTAAAAATTCCAAGAATCTATGAATATGCAAATTCTGAACTTTGAGTAGCCAATTATAAGTTTTCAGTAATTTAAAAATATCCTCTTGCAAGTACAAATGTGATGTTATGCTCCTTACACATATGGAAGTTTGTCCACAGATGTGTAGAGACATACTAACTCCAATGCATAATTGCCTGAGAGACCAATAGAAAGAAATCTGAAGTTACTTCAAAGCACAACTGTATGAGTGAAAGAGCACTAACTTCGTCTGGGCCCTGTGTTAAAGCCGCAGTAATGACTCAGCACTTCAAATTCACAGGTGTCCGACAATCAAACTACCTGCTCTACTGCTTTAAGACCCCCCAAGATCTTTTACTTTTCCACTACCTCACCCCCCAACGTTTCTGTCTCTGACCTCTGACATTTTCTGACAAAGGCTTTTAGTTCACCCAGAACCAATTTAACTGAGCAAACTCAATAATTGGTAGCTTTTGAGCAGGAAGCACTAAAGGGGAAAAAGTGCTCAAAGACGTGATTCTTTTGGTTTGTAAAGTGTTTAAAACTCTAATATTTCCTTAAATTGCTTTGCCAATGTGTTTAAAGGTTTCAGGGCAATATATGATTACACTACAGTGTCTCCTGTTGAAACAAGCTTTCTCCCGCTAATGATTTAATTTCTGATTTACTCAAAGATATCTTATCTCACTCTGACCTTTCTTGCTCGATGTTATTGTATATTCTGATGATTTACTTTGAAATTGACATTGCATGCAAAGTATCCTACAGTGTTTAAATGTGCACATACACTAAAGAAGACTAAGTAATTTAAATCCTATACAGCACTTTAAAGTCACTCTTCAGATACCAACTCTTCATTAAAGCTACAGCAGAGTCTCTAAGGAACATCTCTGAGAGTTGGCCTGTGAACATAATTAAAGCTTTAATCTCTGTTCTTGGCTAACAAGTTTTGATGTGGTCCCGTGGGTTTTGCATTGAACAACCGTGTGACCTGTGAATCTCATCAGATAGTTGTTGAGTCATGGTTAATCTCAGCTGGCTCTTTCCGTTTGCTGTGTAACCACAACAGGACTGGGCCAAAAACATCTCTGTTGTGGTTACTTTAACAATTCTTTATTCTTCATCTATAAAGATGTATAAAGAAAGTGGATGTAGTTATGTGACCAGTTCTTGTTTGCTAATTAATATCAGAAATTACCTGTAATCTAACCTAATTAACATGGATATTTTATAATTATATATATTTAGTATATGATGTGATGAACGGGTAGGCAAACAGTTAGGTATTTATGCACATGTCAAGCAGTTACAGCAACCTTGTGAGGCAGCTGATCGAGATCACGTGAATCCATGTGGCCAGGCTTCAAGCTGTATCCAACCACAGTGGTAACGGACCAAACAGCATCCTATGAGGAATTACCGTCAGCTATGGCATGGGCTTACGGGTATGGTTTTAACGCTAGATGCGCGTGATGAGGTGTGAAGTAACAGTTTGCTCAAAAACAATAATGGCGGCGGTTAAAGAAGTTATATCAGAACTGGAGAGTTCATTGAAAGAAAAGCAAAGAACAGCACTGAAATCTTCTCTTGATTCTCGTTACAGCTGGATATTACGCTGATAAGAGCGGTGAGAGTGAGCCAAAACAGTAAAGTTGTGGGCTGTAATGCCAAAAACCATGAGCTGAAAGTTGCTCCAAAGCTCTGGAGAGCTGCAGAGTCAACTAATTCTCTGTGTTATCCTCTGTTAATATAAAACATTTATTATAACCACTTTAAAATAATAAGAATGAAGTTTAGAGCTGTACTACAATTTCTGAAGCACATCAACAGCAACACATCTTGGTGACGCACACTTAAGCAATTAAGAAGTGAAGCACACTGTCCTCAGACATTCTTCAGGCCTAGATCTGTAGTTTAAGCTGTACAGTGCACCCGTGTCCATGTGAGACACTAGAAGCAGGTTGGATAATCCCAGCTGTGTCCTACCATGACTGTGTGATCCTGTCAGATCTGACCTGCTGTCTCAATGGTCAGAACATCTGATGCAACAGTGACTTATATGCTCCTTAACAATGCACATACAGTACATCATGAAAGGCTGTATCGCTAAGCAGGGCTGGATTAACTCACTGGAAGGCCCCTCGGATGAAAGATGTGGGTTACGGAAACTTTGTATTGTAAGTCCCCCCCGTTGTTGATTGTTCAATTGTTGACAAATACTGTACTTTAATAAACAAAACAATACTGTGTTATAACCGTTTATTAAATGCTCATATTGTGCTTATAAATGCAAAGTGGCAGGGTAAATGTGGTAACTTATATTGAAATAGGCCTTAAAATATTTTAACTTGTCTTTTTAACAAAACAGGGTCTTAAAATTAGAAATATAAACTGCAAAAATGCATTAAATTAGAACATGTGTTATGTTAAAGCTAGTGGATAATTCACCCTCCTAATACAGTGTGATGGAGCACATGTCAGTTTGTCCTGAGAGCTATGGATGTTAATAGGGTGAGAGGGTTTCTAATTTGTGAAAACTGGTTATTGTAGGTGCAAAGCCCATCAAAAGGATAGATTAGGGACATTATGTTGGCCACTTAGACTGTAAATAACCCCTGCAGAGATACTGTGGGAATGCACGTTCCAGGAAGTGTCTCAAATGGACAGTTGACCGGCTGATGACCTTCAGTGTCAAAGGTCACTGACCCACCAGTTAACAGGTGATGAATATGTCCTAACAGCCAGTCATGGGTTGTGTCAGCTGGTACTAAGAAAGAGCTGACCATATAAAAAAAAACCATATGAAAGCAACATTGAATAACACCTTGTATGACTAAAAGCACTGAAGTCGCTCAGAAGAGACCGTCCAAAATGGAGTCTGTGTGTTTCTTTGGGTTTCTTTTCCTGTAAGTTATACACATCTAACAATCCACATTCCCCACTGACTTACTGTATAATGTGGACATTGAAACGGGAATTTTAAGGACCTTTGAATCAGGTGAGTGGTCTTAACCGGAGCTAAACTGTGGCTATTTTAAGAGGTCAGCCCACCAGCATAATGTATCATTTGTTTCGCCTGGCGTCAGAGGTCTTAGAGAGGGAGTGAGAGAGAGAGAGTGTGTGTGTGTTTGTTAGAGAGAGAGAGAGAGAGATATTAGATTTTTTGTAAAATACACAACCACAAACTCTGAAAATGAATGTCTTCCGTTTATATAACACATTATACTCACATTTCTACCCATTCTCCAAACTGTGTATGTTATAGACATTACTGTAATACAGAGCTGTGGATTTTATTTTATACAACAGTCTCTGTTTATAGTAAATATGAGATCAACTTTTTAGGAAAACAAACCTATAATCCAGTTGTTTTCATGTCGCAGACTCTCAAATACAGATTTGACAGGAACTGACTGAAGAACTGATTTAGTGCCTGAAAGTAGAAAAGATTTTTTTTATTTGGTTATTTTGCAGTTTGGGAGACAACAAATCAAACAAAATGTGACACCTGAGAGTATTTCTGTATTTTGTCAATCAATCGATCGATCAGACTTAAATTGAAATTAAATTAAAATGTTTCCCATTTTTGTTAATTAATGGCAGAAATACTGGCAAGACAATTACTAACATACATATTTTCATATTATTAAGCAACATAAGTAAATATTACATCATCTATGTCACATATAGACAGTAATAAGTAGATTTACTCAAGTAAACGTACTTAAGTACAATTTTGAGGGAGTTTGAGTGTTACACTTTATACTATAGCCTACTATTTTACAACATTTCAGCTTCTAAAATTTTATTTTTTACACTGCATTTATATGAAGTTTTAAGTATTTAAGTTACTTTGTAGATAAAGCTTTTAAGAATACAATGAATAGTTTATAAAATATGATTCATTATTAGACAAACCTGCCCCACTGAACATTAAGTGGTTAAAATAGGGTCCACCTTGACCTGCAGCTACATTAAAACACTGTTTATGACATTCTGATGCTGCATTTTAAATACTTTTATTTTGAATTTCGCTGCCATATATCTATCTAGGTAAGGTAATAAAGTTTTTCTTTTCTTGTTTTATTGCCACCTGTACTCACGTCAATGTATTTACAGAGCATAAAATATAAAAACCCAGATGTAGGCCATGTATTAGTAAAATCTGACTTCCTGGAAGCTGAATAGTGCTTCACTGCGAGTCAGACAGCTTCCAAATATCCGTTTCCGTGTTTATTTTTCAGACTTCAATTCATTCAAAACATGAAAAAAGTTACATTATTTTGCATGAACGCGTAGCTCAACGCTTGCATTGGCCAGGGATGAGACGTAAGACCCCTTCCGCCCTCTACCATGGCAACTTCAGAAGGAACCGGAGCAGGGAGGTGGAGAGAGGGGGGAGATATGGGAGGAGCGACGCTTTGAGGTCCAGGTGGTCGAGCCTGCGTAAAAACGCACCAAACGCACGCCAAACACTTACGAAATAGTGAGCGTCATTAAAAAAAAAAAAAAAAAAGAGAGAGAAAGAACCTCGACCCGTCCAGCTCCTGGCACCTATCTGAATGAATAAGCTGTTTGCAGAGAAAGCCTCCTGGATTTGCTGCAGCAGAAATAACTCAAAGAGCGGAACGCGCTTCGGCTGGTGCGTCGCTGCGATCTCTCCAGAAAACGAGAAGACACTTCAGGGTAAAACATTTAGTTGGCCAAACTTTTTTTAATTTTGGTTTTTATTTTTGCAAAAGATCAAGACGGCTTGTTTCAGCAACAAGTGGAGATATGTTCAAGAAAAGCAAGAGTAAAGTGCTGGTGGATTATGCGTCAGAGGAAGACGACATGTCCTGGCACTATCATCACTCCTACAAGGTAATGAGACGGATGGAAAGTCAAACAATCCACCGCTAACAACGAGAGTAAAGATTGGGGGAATGATCGTGTGTAACTCTACTTTAATGTCTTATATTCCGCTCGTTCTGCCCACCGTTTTGCTTGTTTCAGGATTTAAATTTTTTAGGAACAAGTGTCAGGAAAACGAGGCTTTAACAGTAAAGCTGTACGACAGTTTCCACCTGTTTGAAGAAACAAAAACTGCTTAAATTATGTGTTTTTAGAGTGAACCAATAGGCTACTCAAATGATTGTAAAGGAAATGAATAGAACATGTATTAAAATAGATATAAATGATCACAACTACAATGCATACTTCCCTATGAAAGCTGCTAAACCTGGTAAAAAGTTACTAAAAACATCCTGTTAAATTGAGATTGTGGTGCAGAGAGAGGAGGAGGAGGAAGAGGAGGAGGAGGACAAGTGCTCCAACTTAGAATGTCATGTCAGCTGAGGAGGAGAGTGATAGAAAATAGAGAGGTCAAAGAAGAACTAGTTCATTGTCTCCCCATAGAGAAACAAACCGATCCTATGAACATATTTTAGATGGAAGTAAAGTCACAGTTATAATTGAGTACTTGCTGACTTACAGAATAAACCCACAGGTATAAAACAGGAATATTATAGTTATATATACACAGTTTAAAGATTTTTAGACTTAAATTTGTGTCAGCTTTGAATCTATTTGTGTCCTTTAAATCTTAAAGATAAAAGTTTGGACTGGCAGCACTTGTTTGTCAAGAGGGAACAGCTCACAGTGACTGTTGCTGCTGTCTACTTGTTGTGTTAATCTTCTGTGTTAATGGAAAAAAGAGAATGATAAACACTCAGATGCAAACAAACGGACGCACACATTTGCACAAATCCTTCGTACACATCCACATTCGAAAGGTGAGCAGCGGTGTGTGAGGTCCGGGAGCCTCTGTATCATCTGTATCAGCACTTGCAAGCAGCTGGGCTCTGTCAAGGTGTTTAGGGGAGAATCCATGATAACACGCTCACAAAGACACGCACAGACAGACATACAACAGTCCTGTCTCATAAGCACTAGTGATACGTTTTTCAGGTGTCATTGCGCTTTGACTTACAGTAAAACCCCAGAAACTCTGGATAGTTATAGAAATCACAGCGTAGTTTTTCTTAATAAAGGTTAGAGTCCGACCAATATGGGTTTTTTTAAGACTGATTTTTGAAGAATTAACCTTTTGAGCTGGAATGAAAATAGACCAATTCTGCACCGATATGATTCTATGATTCCGATATGATATGATGCAAAGGTACTCAGGAGGCTGCTTTCTTAAACAAATAACTTCATCAAAGAACATTTAAGTTGCACATTCTTGAACATGTTAAATAGTTTAATAAATAGGTTTCACTGTAAACCAAAAGACCAAGAGATGAACACTTAAAAGAAGAATACATTAAAATAAAACAAATAGTTAAACATGAGTAATGTAAAAAGCCTTTTTGCATTATATATTGGATGACATATACGCCAATACCGATACAATACAATAATATATCTGCGATAGACCAATCTCAGCCGGTTGACCGATATTGGTCGGGCTCTACTACACATTAACAAATAAGATAATAATACAGGAGAAGATGTTAATACTTTTGTTGTTTCAACAGGAGAGAAAATAAAAGTTAATTTTAAAGCATTGTGAACTTCTGATAACAAACCCTTTCACATTTTTATTCACTGCCTGTAGCAGCTTCAGTGCCCTGCCAGACAGCATTCACTGGACGTATAAATGTTCAATTCAATTCAATTCAATTCAATTCAAAATGTTTCATGTATAAGCAATTGGGAAGATCAGCCAACACCATTTCTCAGCATTTTTCATTTGTTGTTGTAATAATGTTGAGATCTGTGACCCTTGTCTGGGTTTTATTGGTCGTTCTTAACTTCTACCCTGGGAACCCAACGCATGTGGCCCTTACCTCTTTGGATCTGCTTTGAGTTCAGCTTGTGTGACTCTGTGTGTTACTGAAGTGGTACCAGAAACAGCTGATCTGAGATCAGAGCTGCACTTCTCCTTAGAATTCCTGGGAAAGTCATCAGGGAGGTCTCGTCGAGTCGCCATGGCAATAAAGTACATCCAAGGGTCAGGGGTCGGATCATAAAATGTCGTAAACACAGTGGAGAGGCAGATCCATCCCGGCAGTGATACAGGACGAAGGATAAAAAGTTATGAAAACACAGTCTGGACATGCAGGCTTTTGCTTCCCCTCATTCAAATGGCACACAGCACAGAGGATGAACGGTAGATTATCTGGAGCATTTTTGTGTCATGACCACTTATCTGTTTAGTGTCTTTTTAAATTCTTTTGGAGATCATGAAGTCAGTACAAATAATGAAACATGGAATCAAGTTTAAAGCTACATGAGGGAAATTTAAGGAGAAAGTCAGGGTTCAAAATAGGTTACAAAGTATCTATTAATCTGCTGATGATTTTCTTGATTTATTGACTTGCTCATTACAATTTCCCAGAACGTAAGAAAATAATAGTCTAAGGATGCTCCGATTGGGAAATTTTGGGCCAATAAAGATGTTAAAATAACAGTTTGGCTGATAGCCAAAACTGGATAAGATAGACTTTATTGATCCCACACCACAGAATTTATTTATTACAGCAGCGCAAGATACAACACAACACAAAAAGAGTGTTATTTATTCGTCCATTCGTTCCAGGAAAAAAACAAAGAAATGTTCAAAGATAAACACCTCTTCTGTGTTGCAGCTCAGTTTATTTCTCTTCTCATCCCAGATGTGAGACACAGCTGAACAGCCACTCACTGTCCGTTGTGCTGCAGGGAACTTGTGCCAGTGCTAAAAAAAGGGCTTGCACATCAACAAGTTGGAAACAACCAACACAACATTAACCAGCATAAAACTGATGTAACACAAGAGATAAACATTGGCCACTGATATCGGTGATTGTCATCTTATTTGCCGTCGTCTGTTAACAAGGCGAATGTTAGCTGATACTGATGTTCGGCCAATATATCGGTGCATCACTTAATACATTCAGTTACAGTTAAAAACCCAAATATATATGAAATGTACTATTTTAATTAACACAACCAACACAAAGAAAAGAAGCAAATATTCACATTTTGAGGAGCTGGAACCAGGACGTTTTTGAAGAATGACTTAAACGATCAAAACTAGTTCATTTTCTGACGAGCAAGTTTTCTTACATTACATTAATTTACAGTAACAATATTGATTGTTCATCATTATTTCAGTAATGTTTCTTTGAACTGAGACAAATTCGGATTAACAGTATAGATGAGATAATTTAAATACCATGTTTTTGTCAGGGGAAAATATAAGAGAGCCATAGGCAGGTTGTGGTTAGGGATGGGAACCGAGAACCGGTTCCAGTCGAGGACAAGTTCTAAATTGTCTGATCCATCGGAGTTGCATATCACCGAGTTTATCAATTCTTTTTTATTAATGCCAGCGTGTTTTTCTGACAGCTGCACATTGCGAAACAAGGACATGAAAGTCATGTGTCTACACTGCTGGAAACAAGTAGAGTCAGAGGAAGAGACTCTACTGAATACAGCTCTTTCTCTACACTGTGTTCAGACTCAGAGATGATAAAACAGTTGAAGCATAAAACCAGTGTAGGGCTACTTTTTCTCCCACACCGAAAATTGATCAGGAATCATTAGGGGGACTGGCAATGGTGCAGATGGTAATAATGGTATTGCTATCACTAAAATCTTATCAATTTCCATCTCTAGTTGTGTTAAAATGTATTACATATACAGTGTGTGAACAAAATGTGGACAAAATAACAGAAACACTTGATATTTTAATCCAATCCAATAAAATAATCTTTAAACAAATACTAGATCTGCCTTTAATTATCCAGAGAGGTTACAAATGCTTTCTTCAAAAAGAAAACCTCACTTTTACACGTTCCAGCTCAGAACAACCACAGTCTGATCTGTTAGGTTAGGGTCAGGGGCCTCATTCAGGGGCCCCACGCCGTGCCGCTCTCTCTCCAGCAGCATTTATCCTGGTGGTACAGGGATGGGACCAGTGACCCACAAGTCCTTTAGTCCAGGTCTGTTACTTTGTCTGACTCTTGTACGAAGCCATTTGAATATAATGCTGTGTTTACTTAAAGCCATTACAAAGGACAGTAGCTCTCTTTCTCTTGCACCTTGTTTACTCCCTGTTATCTCAATCAAATGAGCTGAAACTGTGCATCAGCGTACAGACAGACACAGACAGAGACCTGCAGGCAGACAGATAGAGACAGACAATTATAAAGGGATAATGCAGTCGTAGACACACAGAGGAAAAGAGGGTGCATAAAGGGGGAAGGGAGGAGAGAAAATGCAGGATTTAAAGTTAATATCTGTCCTCCCTCCACAGTGCTCTAGGGCGACTACAGTACAGGCCCTGTGCAGCTGTTTGCTTTCTCACCACTCACTCTTTATTGAAGTTCAACGGGGCTGTAAGAGGCAGCTGGGAGCTTGCAGGAGGTGCGTGTGCCTGTTTGTCTATGGCTTAAAGCGGTAACACACCTGAATACTTCAATAAAACCACTTTAATTCCACTGTTGGGTGCCCTCTTTGTGAAGTGGGATCATGAGAGCCCAGATCAGGTCTGAGCACAAACTTCAGACGACTTCTCGTCTAAATCATTAGTGGTGAGGAGAAGAAAGGTTAAGCTGAGTTGATCGTCCGTCGATGGGGAGAGGGTTCAAACGTTTGTGAGTTTTGTCTTACGAGTTCATCACAATGCCTCTACTATTCTCATATCTGTCCTCTAAATTTGAATCTGCAGCCAGGAGACCATTCGCTTAGCTTAGCACAAAGACTGGAAACAGGGGGGAACAGCTAGCCTGACTCTGTACATAGACAAAGGAAGTCACTGCCTCTGTAAAACATGAATGATATAGCCTGTTAATAAGTGAGCTTTAGAGATGCTAGTACACCACATTCATGTCATATAATTAATATTATATAATAAAAACTGTTCAGGTCAGCCCTAAGACCCTCTACCCCTAACTAAAACATAACTCTAACCCTAATTCTTTTGGTGTTTTTTATCCATTTTAACAAGGACATTTTCAGCACCATTTTCTCAGTGCAGAAACGCAGTTATGTGGCTTTATTTGTTTTTCCCACCCATACTTCGCAAAGACCCACCGCTACCTCACTCGAGCTATTCTTTTAAGTATATCTTGTCTAGTATTTGGTGAAAGATACCATTTTCTGAGTCCTTTGGAGAATGTGGAGTACTGTTGTTGTGCAACGGCTTTTTGGAAACTTCCATTGGTACTTTGGTATTTAAATTCACTGTGCGTCTTTATTGCCTAGAAATCTGGCTTTTTTAAAAGACAACACTGAGCTAAAATTTACACACAGACTCAGTCAAAGAGGGAAAGACTGAGGAAAAAATGGCCCCCTGAGGTGTGAAAGCAGAGCTCTTGCTTTCTGTTGTTAGGAGTGTTTTCCTTCCAGAAACACCACTCTCTCTCTCTCTCTCTCTCTCCCCCCTCATTCTCCCCTCCCCTCATTCTCTCCCTCTGTTCCAAGTTGTTAATGCTTTTACGCTCTAACAGTAGTTAGCAATCGGTATGTGTGAGTGTGTGTGTGAGTGTGTCTTTGATCTGCTCAGGTGGCGGAGACCCAGCAGACTTTGCTCCGACTTGTCCAACCACCGTTTCTCCTCCTCCCTCTTATGGAGTTGTTACATGTTAGAAGTTCTTACAGCTTTGATCATTTTATAGGAATTCTGGCTCCACTTCAGTAATCTTAGGCTCAGCGGCACGTCGGGTGACTTCTTGCTGCCCTCTTTATGATTTAATGTTGTGAAGTCTTTTGGAGCAATTCCAGGTCAAGTCATAAGGTTTTACAAGCGGTTGATATCAGTGAAAATGGATTTCTTAATGAATTTAAGGAAATTACTCTTCAGGAGTGCTATGATGAGGTTTATGATAACCCTCAGTGTAATACTAAACTAGATCATGTTAAAGACTGACTTTTGTTTTGCCCTGTACACAGATGTAGTAGTCATAATCTGTTAACAAAAACAGATATTTACATGACTATATCCCAAGACTGTGTACTTTTGGGAAAGCCATTAAAATGACACAACATTTGATCATTTTCCTTTGTTCAGGTTTGTGTATCTCACATATCAAGTTGCTTCAAGCTGTGTGGATATGGAAGCCCTACCCGAAGCTGTCTTGTTTGTTTTATATTTATTACGGCCAAATCTGTGACTTGAATGTTTTGGCTTCCAAGTCAAGTCACCGTAATTCAGTTAGATTGAACTTTCTGGTCATTATACTTGCGTACAATGAAACACAGGCTGGAATGACTTCCTAAAAAAAGAGAAAAAGTACAGACAAATAGCAGGTAGATGTAATAAAAAGTATATAATGAATAACACTGATAAGTTATGATTTGATCAAGTATCAGTTGTACAGCTATATGTATTCATTAATCATTATCTTTGTTATTATTAGATTTATAGAACAAAGCAAAGTAGCAAAGTGCCTCAGATAAAATGATAAAAACAATGAAACTGTAACGCAAATATTATACAAAGGATATATGAAAAATGGAAGGGAAAAAAAGCTTGGAGACTGGCACACAATGGAACCAAAATAGCTCCACTCATAAACCCAAATAGTCTCATGTACTGTTGCATGTACTGGTGCATAGGTCATGAATTTGTTTTCTCTCTCTTTTGTTTAAATCTGTCCTCTGAGCTCTGTGGCTTCCCCTCATCTTCCCCACTCCTTCATCCATCCATCCCTCCATCTCGCCCTCCAAACACAGCATGTTTATGTTACAGCTTTAAAAAGGCTGCCCTCTCTTTTACAGGAAAGTCTGCACACACTCCACACACACACACATCCTTTTGCCACACTCTGTGGATGTGGTGTGTGTGTGTGTGTGTTTGTGTTTGGTGGTTGCTATTTGTGTTAACTCACTGCTGGCGTATGTGTGTGTGTGTGTGTGTGTGTGTGTGTGTGTGTGTGTGTCTCAGGACAAAGACATAGAAGGAGAGGAAGAGGAGGAGGAAGCTGTCACTGCAGTATCCAAGGTAAACAGCACAATTTCACAGATACTTGGATGTAACACAGGCACAAACACGCTACTTTCTTTTAAACTTGCACTCAATGTACACACCCGTACCCCCTAAAGATACGCACTTGTCCAACATGCTCTTATCTGCTCACACATTGACTGCACACACACTAGTATCGCACTCATGATGCCGTCACCATAAACGTCTATATACTTTGATTAACCTCAGTGCTTCCAATGCACATCAGCAGCTTCTTCCTGTCACATGATCAGAAAATGTTTTATGGGGGAGCTGAGGTAGAACAGGAGTGTTAAAGGACTACTGAGGCTGCAGTGTTTATCTATAAACACACCAGCCTTCAGCTGTCATCCCCTGCTTTATCTTTAACCTTATCACTGAAAGACTGTCTTGTTTCTTGTTATGACGCGCGTGTGTGTGTTCTGTTTTCTTTATCCTTAAACTCAGAGTTTGGAACTGTGGAGTGAGGTCACTTTAGTTTAGGGTTAATATTTAATGGATAATTGTGGTGCGCATAATTTTTTATCAGTGATATTAAGATTGTATTCACTAAAACAATTGCTGAGATCTGGGAAAGCTCCAACACCAGTAAAAATAATGTCAGAAAATAAGAATTATCTTGCAATGAGACGTTTTTATTTGCAGATCATGGAGTCTGCCATGTTGAACCGCCCTGTTGTTACAGTAGCCCAGAACAGACAAACCAAACACTGGCTCTTCGTAGGGCCTTTTGCAGTCACTATAGTTTCTCCTACATGTATGAAAGCTGAGCGCTGAACTCTACACACTGGTCCTTTAATGTCAGTCAGGCTAATTTGGAAGAAAAAACTAAAGCAAACAGTAAAATTATCACTCAAACAGTCTGTTGTAAACATCCATCACAGTTTACAGACCAAC